TCCACAGTTCTAAGTTTCTTTTGGAATAACAATTAAGCTCTTTAATGACTTACTCTGACTTTCAGAAAAAAGATGAAAACCTAGTACACAAAGATCCACCACAATTTAGACCCTGTCTCTTTTCTGGCAGATCCACTATCATATGTACCTTTTGTTTCAGCCATTCATATCTACTGGAGCTTTCTGTATTGGGCAAGCTCCCATATCTACCTACTTTTGTATGTGATGTTTTCTCAACCTAGAATGCCTTTGCCTCACCAACTCTTCAAGCCTAGTACAAATGTCACCACTATAAGCCTTTCCTTATCTCACTCAAGCATACAATTTGACTAAGGTGCCTATCTATGATGTTTTCACAGCACGCTTCTATCATCAAACTTATTATACCGCTCTTTAATCATTAATTCACTTCCCTGTTTTCACTAGACTACGAGCATCTTTATATCACCAACCCTTAGAACAGTGTCTATCACAGAGTAAGTACTCAGTAAACATGCTACACAAATGAAAATCATTGTGCTCAGAACTTAGTTAAAACAAAAACATGATTTATCTAATTGTAAATAAATAACCAAATACTCAGGAAGCTATAGGATAACCAGAAAATTAACTTACGTTATTTAAAGCCACAAATTTGTCTTTACTGTCTGAAGGAACAAAAATTTCAAATATTACACATAAACACAAAGTTAAAGTGCAAAAACATTATGGTACAGGCCTGTAATCCCAGCATTCTGGGAGGCTGAGGCAGGAGGAAGGAAAGTCCGAGCAAGTCTGGGCAACTTAGTAAATTAGGAAGAGCTTGTCTCAAAATAAAAAACAAAAAAGGTCTGGGGATATTGCTCAGTGATAAGTCCTGACTTCAATCCCAGTACCAAAAAAAAAAAAATCAAGTATGGTCAACTCACTCTTACACCAATAGTTTGTGTAGTATGTAGTATTAGTTCCACCTTAACAGTGGTCTCTCTTTGCTGTTAAGTCACTTTAAATATATGAGAATCAAGATGTAGTTCCTTCATAACACTTCTAGAGCCCTCTCCTACTACATTTAACAAAATATATGGTTGACATCAAATTACTATTAATCTAAGATGCATGCTGTTTGAAGGCACGCACTACAATCTAGGCCTAACCAGATAGTCACACAAGATCCAAAACTCTACTAATGCATTATCCAAAATGTGATGAGTCCAAGACAAGATTGCCTTCCCTTAAAATAAACAAAATAAAAGTATCATTATGGAGAAGCATATATGAAGGAAACTGGAGTGACTTTTATTAAATTTTTGTTTAATTAACCTTAAACAGAAGTTGTTACAGACCTGAAATGTCACTATGAAAAAATTCTTAATAGCCATCAAAACACTGAAGATAAACCAGGTATGGTGGTGCATGCCTGTAATTCCGGCACTCTGGAAGGCTGAGGAAAGAGGATCAAAAGTTTGAGCCCAGCCTGAGCAACTTAACAATATCCTACCTCAAAATTTAAAAGGTGGGGAGGTGGAGAGTTAGCTGGGTATAAAGGCCCTGGGTTCAATACACAGTATAAAAAAAAATAAGTTGAGAATATAAATGAAAGTGGTTCCCATCTATAGAAAATATGCTTTCCATCTCTAGCTTTCAGAACCATGCAAACTAAATGAAAACAAGTGAATCACAAGCCTTATCCTTATGAATCCATTCTACTAAAGAGAATTTTCTATGTAGCAGAAACTATGTTCCTGGCTAATACTATGTAGTCATTGTATACTTTAATTTCTTTTTATCCCTAGAATTTTCTTCAATATCAGCCAACCTTGTGAGCTGTACTATTTCCCTGTTCCCTTCACCACTGACCTCCTCCCCCTCCCCAACTAGGGTGGAATCAACTGTCATTTCCTTTACTGTCTTTCTACCGTACTGCAATAGTTCTTATTCTTCCTATAGATGATGAATATCTTTGAGAAACTGATGAAATCTATGGCGTCCTGAAAAATGAACATATATTCATTTTTCATACAATCTGAAAAGTTTAAGAACTCCTATCTGCTACAATCACCCACATATAAAACTTTTATTACCACAGGGGTCTCTTTTATAACCCCTTTACACACACAATCTAAGACTATTATAGTGATTAATACTCAAAAATACAGTCTAAATAAAGTTGTACCTTACCAGGAAATTTTTAAATTAAGAGCCTAGATTCCATCTTACTCTAGAAAGAATGGGTATCATCATGAAATCGAATAATAATAAATGCCGGCAAGGCTATGGGAAAAAAAAGAACACTTCTACATTGTTTTTTGATTTTTTTTTTGGTACCGGGGATCGAACTCGGGACCTCGTGCTTGCAAGACAGGCACTGGAACCACTGAGCTAAATCCCGGGCCCACTTCTACATTGTTAATGGGAATGTAAACTAGTACAACCATTATGGAAATCAGTATGGAGATTCCTCAAAGAACTAAAACTAGAAATTCCATTAGACCTAGCTATTCCCATTCTAGGTATCTTCCTGAAAGAGTTACATTCATCATATTGCAGTGATACTTGCATACCCATGTTTATAGCAGCACAATTCATAATGATTAAATCTTGGAAGCAACCTGTATGTCCATGGCAAATTAATGGATAAAGAAAATGTGGTATTTATACACAACAGATTACTACTCTCCCCTAAAGAATGATAAACTTGTAGAATGATAAACTTTGTAGAAAAGTGGATATACCTTGAGACCATAATGTTAAGTGAAATTAATCAGACACACAAGCTTAAATGTCACAATGCAAAACATAATTAAAGAGTATGCTAAAAGGTAATAGGAAATAGGAGAAAGATCCTTTTGTAAAAGGGAAGGAGACCGAGAGAGGCAGTGAAGGGGGAGGGGAAGGGGATGAAAAAATAATTAAGATGTGTTGTGTACATGTAACAACTCCCCACAAGTAATGTAATCACTGTGTACTAAAAACATGTACTAATAAAAAATAAAAATTGGGAAAAAAA